TTTAGGCAAGCCTGTGCCTGCCTACCAGTGGTACAGAAACGGTCGCATCCTTCCTAAACAGACCACAGAAACACTTAGGGTAAGGCCACTGTACCACTCTTTATCTCTAGCTGTTTTGTTATCATATTGATTCATTTGAATGGAGACAGGAGTAGCTGAAAGTCGGAGAGAAACTAACTCCTAACCAATTAGAATGACCTTTTCGGCATGCCCTAATCTTTCGCCACACCCACTGCTACAGTCTGCATTTATCCCTACTTGTTTTATGTGCAAGTTAGGTTTGGGTCATTGTTTTTAAATGTGAGCAATTTGCTTTGACTGTAATGACTGACTCAGTGGTACACACTGAAGTTGTAAGCTGTCTAAAATAATCTTGTTCTACATTTGGTCTTTTATGTTTAGATAGAAAATGCCAGCGCAGACACTGTGGGCTCATACCTCTGTGCTGTGTCAAATATTTTGGAGGAGAGATGGTCTGAAGCAGCTGAGATTGAGATAGGTAAGAGCCGCCTGTTTATGTCAGGCTTTTCAAGCCTATCATTCACAGCTATTCACAACTTCCATTTTGGAGTTGTGTTTTTCGAAGACTTTAGTGGCCATTCATGCAGAATATGTTGCTTTTGTATTTTTTGTGGAATTGCTGTTCTTTATCAGCATCTTATTATCTAAATTATTTTAACATGAACGTTATTTATTATTTAACAATTTTTTTTTTTAATTTTCATGTTTATTTAAACAAAAAATATGTATCTTTTTAAAAAAATTTTAAAAATCTTTTTAAATGTTTATTTTACTTTTTAAAAATAATTAGGATTTAGGAATAGTTCACCCAGAAATGAAAATTTGCTAAAAAATTACCCTCACGCAATCCAAGATACGTTTGTTTCTTCATCTTGGAGAAAATTTAGCATTATATTACTTACTCACCAATGGATCCTACACTAAATTATTGCATTAAATTTGACAATCTTTTGTTTGCCGTCCTGATCCGATCTGACTCTTCTTAGCAGTTGCTGTGTGATGAAAAGCAATTTATTGAAAACATTAATAAAGGAAACCATCCACTCTTTAGCTCTGGGTCATGAATTCTTTGTGCTCAGTGTAGTTCCAGTCTAGTTTCAAATTACTGGTACTTTCCGCAATTTGTAGGAGTTAAGATCAATCAGGAACTGATTGTTATTTTGAGTCTTAACAGGTCCTTAGATACATGACAGAACAACTAATGGTAGACTGAAACCAGCTCAATGAGAACTTCCCTTTTTACTTGTCACATTGTGGAACACAAATAATGTTAATGCTCTGAGAGTTATTTTTTTTCCATAGTGAATCTACTGAAAGACCACAAGCTATAGGCTTTGAGAAAGCATCCAGCAGCGTGGTGACATTTCTCATTCTCTTTCAACTTTCACCAAAACGTTTTTTCCTCTGGTTCCCCCACAGCACCTCCAGATCAACAACCAGCGCCCACGCTTATGGGTAAGTCACAGACAAAAGCTTTTTTCAGCTCATGTCAGGTTAAAAATAGACTTAGTACTTACATTTGTTTCACAATACTCCCACTTTTAATATTTCCTAAAAATATAAGTTTTCCTAGGAAACAAACACTGCCATTCATATAGGATTGTCACAGTTGTGGAAAGACTTGAAATATTATTGAATTTTCAAATAATGAATTGGAGGCCTGCCACAGTTATGGAAATTATTAAAAGTCAAATCCTCCATTGAACACAGACATATGTACAAAATATTTTTTAATCCTTTTTTTTAATCTTTGTTTTGAAATTACTTGTAACACCCAGTAATTATAGTAAAACATTTTTTT